TTTTTTCTTTTGTCCATTAATGCTTTTACGATTGCAAAAAATAAATTTTGTTAAATAAAGGGCGTCAAACAAACGCATGGTATGCTTAGGGGTGGGCAAAACCCGCCCAAACCGAACCAACCCGACCAGGTTGGTTTTTACACGGGTTAGGTGAGTTGGCTGTGCAGACGGGTTGTGTTGGGTCGGGTTATGAGTTAAGTCAAGAAAATCGAATAAACCCGCCAAACCCAACCCGCCACTTTAAAAGAATAAAAATAAAATAAATAAAATGCGTAGAAAAGTAAAAGAAACCTAAAAAGTATGAGTAGATAGTGTAACTGTAATTATCTTGGTGTATTTTAGAGGATGATGTTACTGTTCTTCCCACAAGAAATGTAGTATAAATTTTTCATATTATGTTAAATGCACTTTGTTCTTTGTAGGATCGGTTAATAAGGATTGAATAAGATAATAGATAATTTTATTTATTTATTTACTTACTATTTAATCTTGTCTATTTGAATTTAGTATAATAGATAATTAGATGACTTTAATTTTTGTTGACAAGTCATCCCAAATTGACCAACCCAACCCAACCGATACTTGATTGGGTTTGGTTAAATTTTGATCAAAACGATCATGTTGGGTTGGGTTTGGGTTGAGGCAAAAACCGACCCAACCCATGCCCACCCCTAGGTGTGCTTATATGATCGAAATGCGTGGTTAGAAATATGACACATAAATTATGTATAAATTAACCAAATAGAGACTTAGCCCATGTTTTGTTTATAATAAAAAAAGAATTAAAATTTGAAGTCAAAATAACAATTAATTATGATCACATGGTTAATGGAATTCACAACTTTTCAATCACATATTTCATTATCTTTTATTAAAATCTATTAAAATTTAATTTTAATTTATACCAATTAGCTATTAAAGAACAAGAGAAAAAATAATCGTCTTGTGAGTTCTAGGTTTGATTTTTTTTTCTTGTTCTTTAAAATATTTTCGATTGCTCATTTTCAAGTTTGTTAAAGTACAAAAATATAAATTCATTTTTTATTTATTTCAAATTTTTAGATAAAATAATATAATTTTAAAACAAGTAAAAGTCTTGATTTCAAATCTTAACTCGATAAAAAAAAAAGAAAAAAAAGGATGTCAACAATTTCAATTAAAAAAAATTATAGTTGTACTACAGCCTAAATGTTAACGTTTTCCATAATTGTGAAATATACCTTACTTTTCAAGTTTCAATTTTAAAAATTAGGTCTTCCGGTTTCAAAATTTAGATAATACAATTTTTTTTTTCAATGATCAATTGATAATTATTCTTTTTTTAAAAATATACAATTTCTCTGTCTACTGTCTCTAGATCTACAACACACAGCAAAAGCTTCCATTTCTCTATTACTCCCACTCTCTGGAGCAGGAAAAACTACTATTTCTCTCTTCTTCATTCAACCCCAAAATAAATTTGTAGGCCTCGGCCGCTGCCACTCCAATATCGCCAACTAGGGACGGATCCAACATTGAAATTCAGCTCGGACGAACGTTGACCGGTCAAAGTCGAAAATCAGCGATTGTAAGAGCGAAATCGTTTATTAATATTTAATTAAATAATATTAAAAATAATTTACTGATTGCAATTTGCAAAAGAACTAAGTATACCTAAACCTAATTACTAATTTACCCGTCACAGTATCACTTATCAGGCATCAGCAAAGAAATCAGACAATGCACAACAACACAAGACAACAAATTTACTGATTGCAATTTGTAGAAAACCAAGTATACCTAAACCTAATTACNTATACCTAAACCTGATTACGTATCACAAAATCACTTATCAGATTATGAGCAAAGAAATCAGACAAACAGAGACTATTTTTGCATTTCATTGGACTCAAATTTCATGATTTAACATCGAATATGACATGATCAAAATAATTCATAAACACTTAAAATTGACACCCATAATGCCAAAAAATAACTTACGGTTTCAAATTCACCAAAACTCGCGACGGACGGACGGACAGACGAACGAACGGAGTGACGACGGGTTTGTAGCAGCCTGACGGAGGGCTGGCCGGACTGGTAGTGGTGGGAGGTGGTAGTGACGGGCGACTGGGCGAGAGTCGAGAGATTTTGGAAATTGGTGAAGATGAATCCTCAAGAATTTGGGGATGGATTTCCATTTTGGAATGAAGGCCTGAAAACTGAAGTCATTTGGTCATTTGCCGTTGGGCATATATATTATATAATTAAGGATTGGGCCCAGAACAAATGGCCCAATCCAATTACAAAAAAACAAAAAACAAACGATGATGGGCTGGGCCGAATTGGCCCAAATTTCACAAAAAAAAAAAAAAGAAGAAAGAAGGTTGAAGGGATGAAGAAGACGAATCAATAGGGACGGAAGCTGCAGATGAACTGGTGAAACTCCCAACTGCTCCGACGAAGCCCAGCACGCGCGGTCGTGCCTCCGGCCGGGTGTTGGGTTCATCTCTGTCGCCAACTCTTAGCAACCGCCAAAATCATATATGCATACAATTGGCGGTGGATGATCATAGTCGCCATAATCAACATCATAGTCGTTTATTCTCTACCGTCTAAAATGAGGACCCCTCATCCTCCCCTCTGCTCATTCTTCCTTTGTGTTGACGTTAGGATTAGTATTGTGTGTTACACGTATCACTAGTCTTTAAATTTATTGCGATTAGTTATGGAATATGGAGAGATGGATAAGCTGCTTTTATTATATTGAATCGAGGGATTTATTGCGAGGAGAAATAGGGTGATTTGCTGCAATCGAGTGTGCTGGAGTGGGGAAGACGACGATTTGGGTAGTGAGGTGATGGTAGATTTAAGAAGGATGGAGTTGGGAGCTGACATAACGATTATTTTTTATACATGTCTGTTATGGAGGCCGTCGTTCGTGAAATGTTGAGAGGTTAAAAGGGTGCGAAGAAAATCAGTTAACAAGGCGTTTGCTTTTGTCTTTTGTTTGGCTGCTGCAATCCGTGGCGATGAATTTGGAGGCCCTATGCGACTAATTATTATGATACCCTTCAACATAATCATTTTTTCACAAGCGTAAGAAAATTTAAATATTTAAATAATTAACACTTATATATTAAAAAGAAGACTTTATATAATTCAAAAGATAGAGT